TATATATACTTCATCTCTTTCTGTATGTATACGTTTCGTCGCGTTATCTTTTCATCTTAAGCAGTTAACAACAGTCAGTTCGTTCGTTATAGTATATTATTTCCTTTTCTAACAGAGCCTACGTCGATTTTCCATGGTTTTCTATTATATCATAGTGTGCATTCGCGAATCTGTGGATGTGTGCAATGTGTAGATAGACTATATGAGTGTGCACGGCGTCCAGACACGTCTTTGCACGGGTCAACAACGGTTTTAATTGATATTAATTACAGCGTAACCGGGTATTACATTTAAATACTCGCGTATAGTACAAACAGACAATATTGTTGCGTGGTAAGGAGGGATTCGCTGGATCGATCGGTCCAGAGGAATTATCTACTTTCGCAATGTCTTCCCTTCCTATTCCCCGACAGGAAGACATCGTCTCTGTCCAACTCGAGCTGTTCGCGTCTACTCCGAGATCCATTCTTCCCCTTCGCGTTTGATTTTTTATCGAAAAGTGGAAAATCCGGGGAATATTTGGTTTGCTACGACGCTGATCACTCGATTGGACGTCGGCTCGGTTTCTCTGATACGCCTTCCATCGTAAGGCTCCAAACGATTACCGCTCGCTCTGCTATATTGTCCATTGCGATGGAAAACGTGAACGCGTGATCGAGTTACACTAATGAAAGTGGGAAGGGGCAAGAATCCAAGAACGCCACTGTCGGATGAATCTTATTCTAATCTGCGCCTCTCTCGCACCCTTTCTCTTATTTCTTGACTCTTGTATATCCTTCATTGCTTTCTACGATGAAAAGTTAGCGAGAAGTATCGGGGTTCGATTCCTTTGTTGAAACGTGACAACTTCGCCAGAGTATTCGCCTCCTATCTCTCGAACTACACCTAAATCTTATCGTTTTAGAGTCCTCCTTCGGGGTATCAACGTCGAACTTCTTAAAACGGTGATAAGGATCTAGTAAAATTGGCAGTTTGTCGCTTGATCGACCCGAAGGAAGAAGCGTGGTTAATTAGGCTACATCCACATCGAGTTGAAAACCGATAACGAGTTCAGTCACGGATTACATACATCTTATTAAACATGAACACGATTACGTACATGCACACACATATTTTTTTTTACGTTTTTTTTTTACAATATTTTTTTTAAGTTAAACGTTCATGTCGTCGTTAATTGGCAGTAAAAGGTAGAAACCGGAACGATCGATCGTCCGTTCAATCGCAACGTATATAAAATCGTTAGAAAAAGGGTTGTAGAAGATGGTTCGAAGGTGTCGCGGTTCACAGTCGAGTATCTCGCTGTCTTCGTGTCACCTCACATAAATTATACCGATCTAGATCTTTACATACGGATTGTATAAGAGTCCTAGACGAGAGAACAGTCTTCCGATTCGTTAGAAAAATGAAAATGAACTCAGCTAGGAGAAATTGTATAATCTTGTCGAATGAATTTTGTTTTGAATATCACAAAGTCTCGTTGGATCACATCGTTTCTTTTGATCGATCGCGTATGTTGAACAAGTCGTTCTACGATTGGAAATGTATTATCGAACGCTTCGGATTGTCGTCGCTGCGGCTTGTCCTCTATTACGCGCGACCGGCCACGCCGGAATTCGAGTCCAACGCGATTCGTTTGATTAAAGTCTTACACGTTAGACACTGATCACGATATTTAATTAAAATTTGAGATAGGACGCACTCTCCTAAATTTTATTTCAGTCCCGTTCTCCTGTCTCAATTCTTATAGTGACGTCGCACGCTCGGAGAAGATAAGAGGCAGAGATACGAGAAGGCATTCGCCAATCTTTCATACGACAGCGCGAATTCGAGAAACCGTGGGAACTTAAAACGACACGCCGATATAAAACGATTCTTTGGTAAAATGATCGAAAGATCCAACTTACATAAATCATTGTGTTACATTTAAATGTGTACGCGGGTGAAGTGTGTTTCATCGAGATTAAGTGTGCACGTGTGTGAATATATACAAAACGGGGGATGTACATTTACGCTATGAGTAACGGTGAACGAAGGTCCGCGGGGTGATGTGCGTCAGCAAGTGTGGTTTTTGGCACCCAGCAACACCGGAAACGGGACCCTCATTTCTTCCAATGTATACTCTCTCATTCTTAAGAACGTACGCGTACGTATAAACTAACAATTATTTACAATATGCAAACGTATCTTCTTTAAGCTGATCCTGGGATCGAGTCGGCTTCCGTTTGTGCGAAGACGTGTCCAATTTGAAACTCCTTACGCTGCGGCCTGGCGAGTCAAAGAAAAGTATTCGGCGTTTTACAAACGTCACGCTTATGTCAGCTGCGCCGTAATTGTGCAGACCCTGACCCGAGAACTTGACCGCGTTTCTACTCGCCTGTGTGCGACTATATGTTAAATGGAACTACGGTCGATTGTTTGTAAATCTGGGAAACCTTTTCGTATCTAAGTCAGGGTCCAGTTGAAATATTTAGCAGCAGTATCAAGAATAAAGAATGCTAGACATCATAGTTTTACAGTTAACATTGAAAATCAAGAATCATTAAATATCTTTTAATTTATTAAATTACAAATTGCCCATCCTGTCTCATTATTATCACATTAGAAATTAACGCTTTTACGAAGAGCACGTAAAAATTTGTAAGTTTTACGAAATTTACGACGAGTACTTACAAAATCAGGATTAGGCTTCGGGCAGTGAGGAGCTCGATCGGTTACAGCGGCTCGGACCGGTTCGAGGGTACACTGCAACCGAAGATCGGCAGGCATCATTGAGGCAACATCTTGCAGCTCGACTCCATACCCTCTGGTCGCATACGCATGCTGCCGTTCGTTACGTAACCGTTCGCGTCGACGATCACCGACACGCTTCCTGGGTGGTTGTGGTAGCTTACGTTTCTATGAGTCATCACAATGTTCTTCTCGTGCTCGTTACCCGTGTGGGTGAACATGCAACTGTCGCTGCTCCTGCTGCTGCAAGGCTCCATCGGATGGTCCACGTGAATGGGCATCGTGTAATCGGACATTGAATTCACCTCGACGGTCGCGTACTCTCTTATCATCGTTGATTTCGGAGAGTAATCCATCTGCATGTGTTGCATCGATGAAGTGGGTACCTCTGCTTGATCCGTGATCGCAGCCACGTGGCCGTTCGCCATTGAATACAAATCTGGCTCGTCGTGGCTTTTCGTTGATAGCATCACCTCCAAGCACTGATACAACAACGCGTAGTCTTCCTGTAAAAAGAGAAGACAAAAAATTATAGATCGTCTGAAGATTTTCAAATTTTTTACGCTAATTATTTAAAATGTACCTTTGACCGGAAGACTCCTGGTCGCTTCATGTACAACAGTTTCGCGTACATATAAATATCAGCACATTTTTCGAACTCCAGCTGCTTGCTCAACGTCGTGAGCAAAATGAAGATAGCAGCCTCCACGCCGCCGTATCTGATAGCAAATACAAATTATTTATTTCATATTCATGAAAATTCATAATTTTTTATATAAAAAAATGTGTGGAGAGCTACCTGTCCATCACGACGATAGGACCGTTTTGATAATCACGATGCAAATCGTGGATGAGTGTAACGAGTGGTCGAGGGTTGGTATTGTGCGGCCAGAAGCCGGGCTGGGACCGCGGACCTTGCACGATCTTAGCACTCAGCTCGTAATCGTCTTGCAACGATCGCACCGCGACTTCTCGCAAAATGATACCATTCGCGGTTTCCTTGATCCCGCATGATCGCACGCGGAACGTCTCTGATTCTAAATCTTTCCCTTCGGTAGGCCAGAACTCGGGATATTCCTGTAAATTATTTATTACCAGTAATGAAAGTTATGTTAATTAATTATTTAATGTACTGCATTGGAAGTGGAGAACTTACTTCGTCGCATTCGGTTAGCATGACTACAGTCTGCGCGTTGTAGTTCCACATCATCTGCCAGAATTCCATGATGGTATTCTCCATGGGATGTTGGGTGATGATGAATTCGCGATTACGATGGAAGCCTGATCAGAAAATTACAATTTCATTTTTTCTATCATAATTGTGCACGATAAATGATTTTTAAGATTTTCGAAAACAAATTCCAGATAAGAATTTCTTTTATCCAGTACTCGGATATTAAATTTTCTATTGAAATCTGAGATTTAATGATCGTTCACCTGCAATCCACGTAGCGTTGATATAGTCGCTGCCATCGATTCCAGGTTTGGGCGTTAAATGAACGCGAGCAGTCTCAATTGATATCACTTCCTGATTACGATTCTTGTGAAGATTACACGGCTTGATCGCCGATACGAGGTTGAACTCCTTCGGTTTCCATGAAGTCACCAGTTTATATTGAGCTTCAAGATTGTTCCATCCATCGGTGTTGGCGTTATTGGGACTTAGCATGTGCTGAACGTAGTCCAACAGATGGTTGGCGTCGATGTTCGTCTCGCCGCTTTCGATCGCCTCTTGCAAAGCGTGGTGAATGAACACGTACTGCTCTTCTGTCTGGACCAAGAAATTTCGTTGCGTGCGGATGTGTTTCAGGAATCCGAACACGTTCACCTCGTTCTTGCACTTGGCCTGCTTCAGCATGGCGTCGATCACGATGTAAGTTCCCGTGCGTCCGACCCCAGCGCTAGAAGAATTATAAATTCATCGTTGAACGCTTTAGTGATCGACAACGGAAGAGGAAAATCAAAGTAATTTCATATGTCCTTGCGAAAGAGTTATTTCAATTTTCGTTAAACTATTTTACCTGCAATGGACGACAATGGGTCCCGCATCCGGAGGATTGGCATTGGAAGATTTCCGGATGAAGCTGAGAACCGGTAAGGGATGTTCCGGCACTCCATGATCAGGCCAGCCGGTATAATGATATTGCCATATGATTCTTTCACCCATATTAACTCCGTTCTTTTTTTTCTTCACCTGTAAGCATCATTAATCCATGGGACCCAATCGACTTTTATCAACCTTCGAGCGGTCGCGCTATATCTCGACGAATAATTATAGATAAATCGGAAATAAAAATTTCTTATCAAGTGTTCTTAAGATAAGGCGAATGAAGGAAAACGCGTTACAGGCATCAATTTTTAACATAGTGATTTGTAGGACAGCGCGACTGCTGGAAGGTCAATAGTTTCCATTGATTTCCTTAATAAATATTCCAACCTTTAGATGACGAATCTGTAGGGTGCGAATGGTGTAAGTTGCCATTACGTCTTCCCTTAGCAGAGTCACTTGAATATATCCGTACGTTTCAGAACCCTTCTTAGGCCAGTACATATCACATTTTTTCTATAAAACGCGTAATTATAAAATAATGATTGCACATACAGAAAATCTGAATACATATGTAGAAGAGCAGAAAAGTTTTCGAATACTTACGCGGCCACGTTCCACGAGATTGGTGATCATTACGATGATTGATACTTTTTGCTCCCACACCATGCGCCAAAATCCATCGAACGTCGGTGGCAACGGACCCTGGGTGCCAATGTACGCACGGGTACGCTGCCAACCGTCAATATAATTCGCGTTCACGTAATCGTGACCCTTCTTAGGCGGTCCTCCACCGCACGATAGCAATTGCACTCGAGTGTGATCATCTGCGAACAGAGATTCCCATTCCACATCTTCTATTGTTCAATCGAACACCTATTCAACATTTCTCATACACCCCTTATTCTATTTAATTATTCAGTAATGATCTCGATAATCGACTACAAAAGTACTTTATTGACCAGTTCGTTGAATCAAATTCTGTAAATTGAAGTTTGACATCACGGATCGAAGTCCAGGTGATCTGTTCTGTTTCTCTCTAATCCACGGGCATTGATAGGCATTAACGAGCCGCAAAGCATCTGTGACCTCGTTGTCAAATGCCCGCCGGTCACTCACATTATAAAAGCGACACGTCAACCCAATAGTATTGCGAACAAATCGGTGCAGCACAACGAGTTCTCGACCGAATTCGTGCTATCTAACGTCTTATTTATAGTCCGATAAGTTATCGTAATCGAATCGAAAGATTTTCGCTGCTAACACTTTCCACGATAAATCGGATAAGTGGAAGAAGAACGAGTCGGTTAATAATTCACATACTTAATTCAACGTGATCGTTTTAAGTCGATTGTTCTCGTCGGCATATTGACCTTTGACTCAGCATAAGAATTAGTACGACGGTTTATCGAGTAATCTAGTGATTGTTATTAAATCTTCTTGTGTTACTCCTATCACAAGTTTTAAATTACAATTAACAGGTACTTAAATAATTTCTTTACGTACTCCGTCGATTCAAGTGAAGAAGACGTAACATTCATTCATTTAACGATATGAGTAGCAACAATGATAATGATCTATCGATTGCCAGGCGAGGAATTTCATGAATTGAACGAAACTTGTATAGAAATAGAAAGCGACGTTCGAGCCTTGTGATTTTTGTCGTGTTGAGGGCCGACAGTCGCGGACTTTCGATACGCGCGATTGCAACGGTTGCACGGCATTGCAGGTTTCTCTGTGAAGCCTTCTACGAGTAACGTGACGAATAGAGCAAAACCTTGAGGAAACGGAAACGCGCGAATTAATCAATCGATGGACCGCAGATACAATTTACTAACAGAGACACTTGCTAGTGAACAAAATTAAGGATGTATTGGCTATACAGTCAATCCCAAAATTTTATGTACTTTAAAAAAACGCATTTGCTATAATTAAGAAGAAATCAGACGTCGGAAGAACAATCCTAATAATAAATAGCTACGNCTATATAGCCAATACATTCTTAAACCTCGCGATGAAAGGGAAACTCGATTAAAAATAGGATCAGGTTGCCGGTGGTCCACGGAAAAGAAAACAAGGCTTGGAACCACACGTGCTTCGATTTAAATACATTTTTCCGTAAGAAACTCTTTTGTTCGGATAACAATTGCACATGATTAAAAAAAATCTGATAAAATTTCACTCACAGGCCAGAATGTTCAAATATCGGTTCTTCGTCTTGTTCTCAACGCATTGAGAATTCTCCGCGGTGAATTTTCCTGTTTCGGACTGTATGCACTCGTACTCCTTGCTGAAACCAATGTCGCCGTCGGCGTGCAGGCTCGCGACATGCTGTACGAATTTCGAGACAGCAACCGCGGTCCGTTCGCCGTCCTGCTCGGTGTTCTCCCATTCCTGGAGCGTCGGCACGTTCCGGGGAGGATAGTCCAGGAAATAGTAAGCCGTATGGAAGCATTTCCTGAAAATTGGCCTCAGGCAAGGCCTGATGAGTTTCGTCATAAGCATGCATTTCAAAACGAAAACGTGAAACGGACGTAGAAACGAAAAACACAGGTGAAACGAGGTTTATCGGTTCTTCACGGATTCTTATCGAATCGCCTTGGAATAAAAAATGAATCGAGTGCAATGGAAAATACGCATCGGTCTCGGGCGCCCGTTTGATAACCGATCGAGATCGCACGTTTAGAATCAACGGTGTCGTTGTTCTCGCGTTTAACTCACACTTCGAGGAACTTCTTCATCCCGTCGTCGTGCTATCACTATCCATTCTACGGTTGTGCAGCGGGTTTACGCGATCAGCCAAGAGGCGAACGTTCTTTGAATAGACCAGAGCCGCGGCGTCCGTGACCCAGATTGTTATTCCTTACGAATCGCACGGTATCAAGTCGACCGCGTGTTTCAGCATGTTCGAGCAGTTCGTACGATCGAGGGACTTAGACACGTGCTTTGGCACACGACTGCCACTTAACACGGCTCGGCTCGGGCCTCCACTTCTCTGTGAAACGAGCGTAACGAGCGAACTGGGAAGTCGTCGTTATCGTGGGCGATAAGAGGTCAGACGGAGATTCTGGAGTGGAAGGAGTACGGGTGTGCGAAAGAGAGAACTCGTTACCGCCTTTCTTAACGATAACCGAACGCGGTTTACAAGTGCGTCGTCGGAGCCACTCCGTCGCGTCGCGTCGCGTCGCGCCGGTGAACTGAACGCTCGGCAAATGCGTGCGTTTTAATACCGCGTGACTGCACCGTGGATTGTTTGTAATTGCACGATGACGGCCGAACGGCTATTATCGCATGATGGGGCACGGCTAGGTATTGTATTTGCAAAGCTGAATGAGCGAATGTGACCGTGGGCAGTAATCGCGTGAATATTGCACTCGGGAAACGAGTATCTGCTCGTTCTTATAAAATTAGATTAAACGACTAATTAATTTTATTGGCAAACTAAATTAACGAAATTCAATAAAGAAACAGAGATCCGATCCACAATTCATCGTACATCGTTTTCTAACTAACAATAACACAGTTCAATGTTCTCTGTGAATTGTTAATTGCATAATGTATGCACATTCATTTTTATTCTAAATAATGCATCAAGTGTCTGATGAATCATAGACGGGCATTGAAAAGAAAGATAGATCCTCACTTCCATAAGACGAAGGACGTGATCATGAGCATTACAGCCAAGCAGGCGCAGATCATCCCAGCGATCACTCCATTGCTGAATCCCCTGGGGCTGTGCGACAGCAGCGGCGGTGCTCTGTTGCAATCGCGGATACCGCGCACCTTTTGTGGATCAGAGCCCTCCCCTCGTACGATCACTCGATTATCGATAGTGCTCCTTGTTCCACCGCGAATCACAATTTCATACACGCTGTTCATCGTCAGATTCGGTATGATCATCTGCAAGATCAATAAACATTTTTCTTGAGATCGATCGATCGATCGCTATTGTAATTCCATGACTCATGCAGTGTGATAAAACTCAAGTATGCATTTCCTGTGCCACAAGGTCGGTTTCAAACATATATCTGTTCGCAGCCACAGGTATTTGTTCCGTTCGATAGATAAGAGAAATTCGATCGAGAGATTCGCGGTATTAAAGTTCTAGTCCAGTTAGCTCGACGCACGTTCATTTCTTTGCACGGTCTACGGCGTCAAACGAGGTAGTGAAAACGAAGAAAGTGGAAAATTTGTCGCGGCTGGTGGAATCGAAGTGAAAATTGTTACGTTCATAAGTTTTAATCACAAATATTGCAATATCATAAACTAGTTATGTATACGAGTGGACGTATCGAGCAATGCATTACTCTGTATCCTGTTTTCTACAGCTCTAACATTCCATGACAATTTATATGTAATTTACAAGGCTATCAACAAATTTCTAAAAATGATCCTATTTGATGTATTATAAATCTTCTGATTAATAAATTAATAGAAGAATGATCATGAATAAATCATGTAATTTATCATAGATCTATGATTTTTATTTTTCAGTGAAAGTAACCACCGATGAAATAATTGCCAGACTTTTAAATGTCTTAAGGTTTATAAAACTGAGAACATACCGCGCTTTCGAGGAGATTCTTTTCGGTCGTCATTTCGATCTCCTCGTAACGGTCCTCGTTCTCGATCCTGTAATTGATGAAGTAGTAGTCGATCGAGCCCCAGAAGAGGCTCGGCCTGGCCCACTGGATGTAGATGGAGTCTTGGGTCGGGCAAGTGACGTTCAAGATGATCGGCGCGTCCGGTCCTGAAATATCCGTGCGGCGAACGATGTGCTCCGAGGGCTCGCCCTCGTTCTTCAACGTGTACGCCTTCACCCATATCTTGTACTCGGTATACGGGTCTGCGACCATAATTCATCACTCGATAAAGATGCGTAATAGAATCATTTGTATGAATTTATATCTAAAATCTTGTCTTATCTCGTTAGTAACGATTATTCTGTATAAAGAGAGATTTACTCGACTGTATAAATCGTGAACGACAACGAACTATAGACGGAACGTTTTTTCGTTTGCGTCCATTAGCGAAACATCAGATTTATCTCGGATCGAATTTATGCCTGACTCTACGAGTTCCAGATTCGAGCGCGTTATCTAACAATGCATTCACCTACAGTCATCGAGCCCGAGCACGTAACTCAGCGCTGATAACAACATTTCGGCTTATCGCCGAGCCAAAACACGCTGACGTTTCTTGTTGTTTTACTGGAACGACAGTTCTCGAAACAGATACTCTACGGTGCTCGCGCAAGCTGCTCCATTTCCGTTTAGTACTCACCTAGCTCTTTTAAAAGGAATTCGATCGCCGGCCCATTGTACTCCCCGATCCTGTACATTTGGACGTTCGTGTAGTTCGAATGCATATAGTATATGCGATAACCGGAAAGGATCCCATTGCTGTTCTCCGGCTCGGCCCATGACAATTCGATGGTGGTCGATGTGATGCCATGAGACGTTAAGTTCAATGGTTTCGTAGGGACTGAAAAAAGAGCAATGAATGTGAAATAAGAATCTCAAGAATTTTCGAATATCCAATTCCAGTCCATTTATTTTATGTGACTTTCTCATTTGGGATTGCATTCTATTTAGCAGACGGATTTTATTCATCGCACATATAAAATATGAAAAGCAATTTTTAACTAACGAATGAGGATCACATTTTTCTCTATGCTGTTACAAACGTTTTGCACAGAGATCTTATCAGTGGCTAATGGAGATTTAATCTCGATTGAAGAGGTATCAACGGCGCGTGGTACAACAATTTTTGTGCTCGAGGTGAAGCAGCGCTCTCGAAAACGTGCGGCACCGTAAACTATTTTTCGGTCGATGCACTCGTCGCGCGATTCGCGTTCTCCCATCTTTTTCGTCTGCCGGCTCATCGACCAAGGTGGCTTTCCAATTTCTCGCGCACAAAGACGAGAGCCGGGCTCGCGACGGCCGAAGTCTGAATAATTAATTTCGCCTCGAGTGTCTTCTCAGACCCCTTCGCGCGGCGACAAGTAACTCTATAGACATCCATTCACTTTTCGTGCGCGGCCACAGCCTCCTAAGATCTTCTAAGACTCAGCTACTTATGATCCATGCAGATTAATGACGGTATTCTCAGAAGAAATTGGCTTCCCGAAATTGTTTAGTTTCTTTTTGGAGTTACACAATGAATTATTTATACGAGCGATGTCTGTTATATTTTATCATTGGCACGATAACAGGATCGGGTCTCGTACGAGCTTGTAGAAGAAATAAAAAATACAGACCCGTGGCTCAGACATCAGATCTCGTTGTGTAACAGCTTCTTAAACAGGAGAAAAGAAAACGAAATGCACGCTCTGTTTGTACGGCTTCGCGATAGGATTTCGTGAAGTTTAAACAACGGAGGGTGCGAGGAACCTTAGCCGAGGGACTTACACCGCTACAGGGTGCTAATCGCATTGGAATCTCGCGATCAAATGTCGTGGACACGGGCGAACATTCGGATAAACATCTGTTTAACGAAGTTTTCATGTTGCACTTCGGCCTGTTTCAGATTTCAAACGATACTGCGGCAGGAAAAGCGATATCCTGCGACCGCCAAACAGACTTCAATAATGCTACCCTCTACTGCTTTTCTGTAACGCTATACTCCAACGCGTTAACCACTTGAGCGACACGCGATTTCAACGCACGATTGCTCCTGGGATATTGTAACGTTCACTGAATACGATAAACAAAATAATAAATCATATACCAAATATACATTCTTGATAATTTATTAATGCTCGTTATAATAATTAATAAGAAATTAGCATAAGAGGATTGAATCATGAAACTGCATAATAAATAATGTATGTGCATAATAAATAGTGCATTCTTCATTGTTCGTCAATGATCATTAATTCACATGATAATATTAAAGTAGAAGTTGACAAAAGAGGGGTGAGAATTCGTCGCGACAACCCTCTCATGACTAGCATTATCACGCGTGCGACACAGCTTCAGTGCACTCGCGACGCGTTTCACGCGAATTTTCCCCCTACGGCCGTTTTTTCGCGCGTGAAAAACTGTGAGAATGGGCTCCCTTTCGCATTCAAGTCGCGTTCAGCGACAAGGAGAGGGCGACAACACCCGAAACCTTTAGAATTCGCAGCCATATCGCGACACGTTCCTGAAAACTGAACACGATGAATAGGCAAGGTCGGTACGATTATTCGTTTGGTTGGTTGGTTAACGAGAAATGGCTCGGAGAAAGGATAGTATCGATTATGCTTTTTCCTTTCATTCTCGTAGACTTTTCCGGGTAGACCACAGGAAAACATTTTCCCTTTCTGGTTCTCGCGGCCGAATACCGGTTTCCCTTATTTAATTCGTTTTCCACTCAAAACGCGCTGCGGGAAGTTACGTCGGTCCAGGTTACTTTCTCTCGTAACTGGATGTAACCACCGGTTAGATCATTATCGACAAATGTGCAGTTAATGGAAAATTCTGAGTAACGGCATTGTATTGAAAATTGCAACAATTCATTCGTAATCCCCTCTAGAAGCTATTGTATTTAAAACTTAATCAATTCATCATTATACTTAGAATTCCTACAATAAATTATAAGAGACAGGGTGGGATCTAGTAATTTTCTGAAGTTTCAACTACATTATGCAAAAACTTTCTGCATTAACTTATGCGAATAACTTAATTCAAAACGGCTTTATGAAATGTCTATCAATTATTCATAGGAGCCTGCGAATTTTACTTCCCGCTGCCGAAAGTGGTTGCAACCACGCAGATCTTTCGATCGGCGAAAGTGGCTTTATTAGGATCGGCTGGCAATGTAACGGTGCTCGAGTGAAAGGAGCGATTGATAAGAAAAGCGGTGCTCCTCGGTTACCTGTTTCGCGTTCCATCGTTTCCCGTACGATTACGTTTATGAACTTGAAATACACTTCTTCAATGGAAGAGTTTATTATTCAAGTCTGTCGTTCGTTAATTCGGACCTCTGTGAAAAGTGATTTTTAACGCGTCTCGCAATGGCTGAGCAAATATTAATCGCAGAATATAGAAATTCGTAGCTCGTTCATTTTCCTTGTTATTCAACTAGTTGAAATGATTTCCGTATATGATTTTCCTTAAACGATTATGAATCCCGTCAGGCAGGTTTTAGGACATGTATTTCCTGCAGCGGAGTTAATTAACATAAATGCGTGCACTTTGTTTTATACCTGGAGCACTCGTCAGCTAAGAGACGCAGAGCGTGCCATATTTCACGTATAACCGAGAAACTGATAAGTTATAACCGCGATGCATTAAAAACGAGATGCATCGATAAATATAATTGCGTCATATCGGTCCGTAGCGATCTTCATACATCGAATATTACATGTTGCTCCGCGTAATACAAAGTATCGAACACTTTACATCGGTAACAAGGTTACTTCTGCAGGGTGAAAGGCCATTAAGAGGCCATTAAATCGAGATACGAGTACGGCATTAGCAAACACATTTTCGAGCATACGACCTTCGGGCTCCTCCCTTCTAGACAAAAATACACCGTCTGTACCAAGTAACGTGTCTGGACTTCCAAAAAAGAACGAGAGCGAGAACGAAAAAGACTGGATTTCCATAATTTTATAGGCGCCGTGAGGTCAGTCGAGCTGCATGTGTTGCAACGTTACTGAGAAGTTTGCACGCGGATCACGAATGCCGATCCGTGAGACAAAAATTGTTTGCGAAATTAGATTGCAGAAGTTAAGACCAAGATTAAACGTGATTATCGTATATTTTAAAAATCAGAATCTACCGTCGTTTCTAACATCATTTATGTGATTCACGTGTCAGAATCATGTCATAAAAATTCTAATACGTTGTATCTCGTTTTGAAATCATCAAAACATTGACACAGCATATTTCTTGGTCAATATTTATCGACAGAAGAGAGATTCGCAATGATCCAGAGAATCTTAGGTCAGTCGAATCGAATGATGATCCGAACGGAAATCCGACTGGCTTCCTGCAGGATCGAGTGACGAGGGCGCCGTTTCCTCGCAAGAACTAGTTTCGTGGCCACGCTTTGGAACCTGATCGCGAGCAATGGAAACGCGAGCAACTGTGTTTTCATGCCTTTATGACAGCGCGTGTACGTAGACGCCCGCGAACCGCGGATTACGTAACCAGCAAGGTGCGTTTCAAGAGAACCAGTCTAAGATGGTGGAGGCGGGACAGGGAGGGAGATAATGAGGGGAACCTGTGTTAGCTGGACAGCGGATTCCGCGGAGAAATGTAATACCAGCTTGTTCCGCGGAATTGAGACGGAAAAGGAAGCGCGATCGGGAGACTCATGCGATTGACTAATACCTGTGATTTAAATCATGTCTTTATACAGCTTTTAAATAAGATCTCGTTAATAGATTCGGCAATCTAAAGACCTACAATGATGATAATGAAACGACTTTACAAAAACACGTAAATGTCTTGTAACATCAAATTCGAATTAGCGGATAATATGTACATATGTATAAAGAAAATTAAATGTTCTTTATACTGGAACCTTGTGCAAAACGTGGTGAATGAAATCCGATGGCATTTACCTTGCCAAATGTCGCTGTCGTTCTCAGTGGACGACGAGAGAGGCACCGTGTAGGTGGTCTGCTCGATCGTCTGCTCGTCGGTGTACGCGACCGGGTCCGCGGAGGCGAACAGTATCCGTAACATGACAGCCACTGCGGCCACGAGTTGAGCGGCACTGGCTATCCTTTGCCACGACATTTTCGTTTTGCAGCTGCAGCTGTGTGGCCAACAAACCTCACCACCGGGCTATTTCACGAATTCGTCCATCCTCGTTACTCCGCTCGGCATCACGGTTCACCCTGTACGCTTCTCCAGCAGTCTGGTTTCCACCCCCTTCGGTTTCACACCGTTGGCCCGTGGTCCACGGGCCGGCACAGCCTCCGTCTTCTCATCTCATTATTTGTACTGATTCATTATCTATCGTTTAATCGCATTCTTCTTGGGGGTTTCACGATCGCAAGCGAGTTCAGTGGAGCATTCTCCCGAACGGGTACGTTGCTCCGCGGCGTGGGCGTATCGCGTTTAAGAGAGCAGCGATCGGACGGATCGATCGGTCGTTGGCGTGTCCCTCGGTCGCCTGAAGGAATAGGAAATTGTCGGGGCGTATCGGACAGCGAGGATCGAAGCTAACGAAGCGGTGATTGCATTCGCGCTGCATCCTCGCGGGCCCGATATACCGCCGAGCGCAGTACACGTCCGTGCAACGTGACCGGAATGCATTAACATGGCTCGAGATCGAGAGCCAGCCCAATTTTGTCTCCGGCTTGACTCTCTTTTTTTTTTTCGTACTCTGCGTGGGGAAAAAAGGAGCTAAATTCGATTGTCGCCGGTTCTCGCGTTGTGTCCTAATTGCGTCGTCGAGCGCCTCAATTAGTCGGAATTATGACCTCGATTGTTTCGTCGTCGGGCTTGTACATGCGTCCAGAGAGCAGAGGCGCTGTTGCTACC